AATGTAAGGCATTACAGAAAAAAGGTAATATTTTACTCGGTACTGTAACGTTTTTTAAGTGGTTACTTGTAATAAATTATCAATAGAATATAAAGTTATCCACTAAAATGTAATATTCCATAAAAATACGTTAATATTATTGAACCTTTAATATTCGATTGATGATGAAACTAGGTACTTTGGGTACGCCAGGGAAACAGCACTTATAATAATTTTACACAGAGGCAATAATATCGTTTATAAAAATCTATTTATTACTTTATTTCTACGACCAATGATCATACAGCATAAATGATTATTTATGGTAATATCATCTGCGAAAATAACCAAACTGATGAAACATGATCTTAGATGTTATTTAGAGTCTAATTAAGTGTCTTAGAAAAGGATGTGATGTCTGGGATTGAAAAAAATAATCTGGGACAGAGCCAGCTGGGCATATCAAGGACTCCTGGAAACAGTGGAACCTGATCTGCCTCTCTCAACTGTCTATAGAGGATTCTGAAGACGTCTGGATATTCGTGGTGTTGGTGTCGGGTTTCTTGCTTTTTGGCCTGAGTGGTTACCTGGTTTACCGGAAAATTAATGAGCTGTCGAGGGATATTGGCTCAATCCCTTAGCTCAGGGATGGATTACACCGCGTTGTGAACGCATAAACTCATATAATTGCCGAGATGAATCGTAAGCTTGGAACTTTGGCTGAGATTCAGACTCTGGCACAGAAGGTGGATTTGATCAAGGAGAAAGGTGATGGGTCAGTACGGATTGGGATAGATTAATTACGCCATTATTGGATCTAGAGGGGTTGGAGACCAACAGAACTTTAAGACAGAGAGGAAATTATCTCTGTCTGGCCCCAAAACAAGTTCTTATCTGAATCTGGTGCCCTTGAGCCTGTGAGGCTAAAGTGATTACTCTCCCTCAGAAGAAATGTGGAATGCTGCCGTCACCATGGCAACTCTGTCTCCCTATCCCAGCCTGGGCGGGACTGCGACCGGTGAAGGCCGTTGAATCGTTTCCAGGAGTCACTGTGCTTTCGAAACCCAACAACCTCCTTCCCCTGTCCAGACGGAGGTGACGAGCGCTGTTTATCGCGGCTGCATGCACTGATGTGAGGAGAGTCCCCAAACCTACCTCCACACCTATTGGACACTTATGTTGTGTAATGTCTGAAGTCTGTTGCTTTTCTGTCTGAGATGTTTTTTTTTCTTGCAGAGCAAAGCTGCCCTCCCTGTGGAGGGTAACTCTGAAGTGCCTTTTTTTCCTCCACCTGTCTCAGTCCTCATGTAAACCCTCTGATCTCTATTAAGGTATCGCGACTCGGGTTGCGAATGACCACAGTCACCAATTCTTGCCATATGTCTATGCCTATGTATGTCTGATCTCTGAATTGTGTGTACTGAAACTCAAATTTCCCTCTGAGATTAATAAAGTATCTTTGAATTGAATAGAATAGAATAGAATTGAATCCAGCGCCATTATGCAGAATTTACAATACACGTGTGGTGAGAGTTCTCCGTAGATCTGGCTGACATGAAGTCCTTTTGACCAGGATGGCGAGGGATTTGGACTTCTGGAGGATCCAAAGGTCGTAGGTCCTTCGAACATGGTTCGAGCTGGTCGAAAGATGCTCTGAGTCTGATGAAGCTGGCTGTGGACTGTGTACAGTTCTGGTGACCTCTGACATTACAAGGCCTTTCCTACACTACCGTACAAATGTCAGTAACATGCGTTGCAATGCATTTTTAACCCAGAATCAAGTGGTGGGTTTTCTTCAGGGTTCTAATTACGCAGATCCCGACAAAAGGTCCAGTTTCCATCTCTATGGACTCCGTGCACCAGGGCGTCTTTTGCCAGGAGAGGGCACAACCGTTGATGGTTCATGCGCTTCCAGCTGCTTTCTGCACTTGCCACAACCTCAGTAACTTAAGTCACACCACCGATAGAAAACCATAGCATATTCATGTCCGCTCATATTCTCGGGTTCTTTCTCTTTTATGTGTGACTGACGCGCTGTGCCTCAGCGGAGTTCAAAATATGTGCCGCTGTGACTTCAGCTCACTGCCGCTGGCGCGTAGTGCACATTTCACTAGTTTTGCGTTGGGTATATCCCTGAACTGCTCAGTGAAAAGTAGCTCAGGATGTGGAAATGTAAGAAATCCAGAAAGCAGTTTTTCTGGAGAATGAAGGAGATGCAGGAACACAAAAGACAGGTCAGGAAAAAAGTCAAAAAAAAAAAAAAAATAACGAACTAAAGTGCTTGAAAAGGAAACAATTGGTAGATTTATCCCACTACACATTTTTAACAATACAAAGCTATAATTTATAAGCATGTAATATTTATATATTTGATCACCTTTAAAACTCAGTCCCACACCCAGGGACCAAGGCTAAATAGGTTTAAATTGACTTTTAACTTACAGGCTGACGCTACAACACAATACAATTAATCCAGCAGCACATATACAGTAATACATCATCACGTAAAACAGGCTTTCAGAGTTCTACACTGTTAAAAGTCACAATAAAAACATAACAAAAGAAAAAAAACCCACAATGCTATTAATATGGCAATAAACGGTTTTGGGACGTTATGAGCATTGGGTGCAACTCAATTGAATTCCGTTTATTTACAAAGCACCAAATCACGACGAGTCATCTCAAGGCACTTCACAAAGTAAACGTTCCAATACCGGTCAGTGGTCTCATTTATCAAACATAGCATAGAATCCTTACTAAAACCAGACTTAAGCTCAGCAAAAAAAAAATGTACTTACGCCAAGCAGGTTTGTGATCTATCAAACATGGAGTACGCACAGCTACACGCAATCTCCGCTTCATAAATCAGAGACTAACTAGAAAGGTACTCAAGTGTTTGAGTCACATCCCGCCCTCAACACACCCACTTACTGCCATAAATAGTCAATGCAAAGTGCCTTGTGGATCTCATGCATATACATAAGCCGGCTGTTGCAGCACTCCATCATTAACGATGTCGACCGCAGATCAAGGAAGCGCTATTTCACACAAGCAGAAATTGAGGTACTTGTGGGTGAGGTGGAGAAATGAAAGGAAGTGCTTTTGCAAAACAAATGAGAGAAAATCCACGGAGTGGCACAGCGTTGCTGAAGCCGTCAATGTTGAGAGTTCTTCAGAGAGATCTGTGGGGGATATAAAAAAAACTGGTCCGATCAGGATTCGATCCCCAGACTCCCGGGTGAAAGTCACACGCACTAACCAGTCAGTCAAACGGCAGCCAAACCATGTAGCCAGGGCGCACGATCAATCGGGTCACAGTGACAGGACACACACTGTCACAGACACATGACATTCTGTCTCAATCTGTCCCCCTGCTGATATTCTGCATTCCGTATTCTGCGCTTTAGGCTGTGTGTGTGTGTGTGTGTGTGTGTGTGTGTGTGTGTGTGTGTGGTCTTGTTCTGAGTGAAAACGAAGCGGTACAAGTGATAATGCTGCAGGAATTCATAATTGTATCTTCTCAGCAGCAGCACTGCAGGTGCTCTCCATGTCCAAAATGTGCGTAAGCCAGGTCCTTAGTCAAGTTAAAGTTGCGCACATTTTTCTGCTAAGTTTTCTTTCATAAATCCCAAAGTTTACGTGGAAAGTTGCTTACGCAGTTTTCTGACCCCGTTTTGTGCTTAAGCAAGCTTCATAAATGAGACCCCTGCTCATTAAAGGGACATTATGGAAGTTTAACAGCCAAAACATGTATAGAAATAATAAATGTCTTCTTCATACATTCTCCTGCAACACCCTGGTCCTGTAGAATGAGCCCTGGAATTTTTACTGTGATTGCCTGTTTTTCTGTAAAATCACAGAAAAAGAGAGATGCTCGGGTCGAGCAGTCTGCTTCATGCGCGTTCACGCTCAGGCATAGCCCGTAGCATTTGCTATCAGTAGCTTTAGCAGCAGAGAGAGAGGCAGTGCCACTTTGTCGCTGTTCCTAACGCCTAGTGACAAAGCTAGCTACATTTCTGAGGACCCTTAGCTACTTTCTGTAGAACTTTCTTCTAGAGATTTCCTGCAAATTAGCAACAAAATAGCCATTTTCGCTCTGAACCGTTCTTTGGTTTGACGTTTCAACTGTCTTCAAGGATATAAAAATTACAGATACTGTGAATGTTACTGGTGTGTAGCTCACCTTGAAAGATGTCTGACTCCCATGCAGAAGACCTGGGTTCGATTCTGGGTGTGAATATAGTTTATTTAGAGTTTCTTTTTTACATTAATTGTATATTTTTTTACAGTAAGATGCCCAAATTTTTATTTGAGACTCGCCGAACGGCATTTAATTCACAGATAAAAAAGATGTGGGTTCAACTTTCATTTTGGAACAATTTTTCAAGCAAGGGAAGGGAATGATCTGAGCATGCAGGAGGACTGACCCATCATTAACCTTTGTCGGCTGTGCTGAACAAAAAGGTACAGAACCAAATTATTTAATGAATTAGCTGCGTGTTCTCCTGTCCTCTGTCCTCCGGAACACACACGCACGCACGCACGCACGCACGCACGCACGCACGCACGCACGCACACACACACACACACACACACACACACACACACACACACACACACACACACACACACACACAGGACTGTCTCAGCTGTTATTTTCATTAAGGAGTGTACACGTACAGCATGCTCGCCTCGTGCACGAGCCTACTATTAAAGCTGCCGTTACGCTTTTGGCCTGAGGGGGCAATCACGAGCATAAAAATTCAAAACTCTGTAAAGTCCCTTTAAGCCAATCAGTAAAAAGTTTCCTATATAAGGAACCCAGCAGGTTGCATCGAGTCACTGACTAGTGTCAGAGTCTTTACAGCAATCCTCATACTAAGCAAGCATGCAGCGACAGTGGAGAGGAAAACTCCCCTTTAACAGGAAGAAACCTCCAGAGAATCCTGGCTCAGTATGGGCATCCAAAAGGCTACACATACTGTTATGTTATATGTAACCACTTTGTCTCTTTGTGTCAGGTTTTGGATGGTCTATTGGCACAGTGTGGAACTGTAGAAAACTGTGAACAAGGTGAGTCTCTTCCTTGTTGAATGGAAACCACATCCCATTCACCCCATAAAGCTTCAGTGTGGGGGCTATCAGACCTTCTGATGATCTATTGGCAGCAGAGGTCATGCTAGACATATTTGTTGTTGGTTATTTTGACTGGCAGGTGTAAAAAAAAGGGTCATGATTGATTTTTTTCCCGTCTTGTATTATGTCTTTGTGTGGAACCCTTAACTATAGGGAGAAAAAAGTTTCAAAAGATCTGTGCGTGTGTATCTAAATTTGCATGCGTGTCTAGATTTGTGTGTGTGTGTGTCTAGATGTGTGTGTGTGTAACTCTTGATTTGTAACTTGTGTTTACATTTTCTTGTGTAACTTCAGTTCTTACACATACAAATCATGGAATACGCACACACACACACACACACACATCACCTGGTACACACGGGCAAAACTTCAGTACACACAGATCAGTTTAAAAGTACAAAAATCTTTTTGAGACTCTTTTCACACCTGACTGATTCGTGCATACATGGTGCGTTTGAATGCTGGGTGGAAGCTGGGAAATCCAAATGTCCTTTGGATTTAGTCTAAACTTGTGTTGACGGGACAAATCTGTTTTTCTGTGGAAAAATCTGAGGATCCTGTAGTTATAAAAGATAGACCTACATTTAATTTTTATTAATCTAAAATTGTTTATTGAGACATATATGTGTTTGTGAGCCATGAAAACTTAGTGAAAGGTTTAAAAGAAATGACTAATAAATGGCAGAGTGGTTTTCTGACTGGAAAAAAGCAGGCTTCAAAAGGAGAGAAGGCACATGCACAGATCTTTTGAAACTTTTTTTCTCCCCATACTCAACCACCACACCCACCTCTCTTCCTTTCTTTTTAATTCTCATGTCCAAGTTAGTTGGCATTAAAAATAACTAAAAGCCGTTGTAAACAACGTTTATATTGCCCTGTGAGAGTTAGTCCGCAAGGCTCGTTTTTGGCACTCAGGCTTCAATTCTGATTGCTTTCCAGCCAAACAAGACACGACAAAACAAAACAAGTTCTGAATACCAAAATGAAGCAAATCCATGAATAAATGAGACAACAGCATTTGGGACCAGGTTAATACACCTATATGTATGTCGATGTATTACACTCACAACTCCACTGTGAAGCCCCAAAGACCTGAACGCTGTTGTCATCATTTTGAGGTTTTTGTATGTTTTTTAACCTTTTGGGCCACCATAGTCTCTTAATTCTTGATGAAAGAAATCACTGTGATTGCTAAAGAGATGATGGGTTTATTATTTACTCTTAATATCTGTTTGAGACCATTTTAAAAGGAGTCCAGTAAAAATCCTCCACACAGAACCAGCTTTCGAGATCTAACAGGAATCTGTTATTGATCTAGGACTTTAGGGATAACTGTGAAAGACAGAATGCATGTTGGTCTCCATTAAAGCTGCCAGCACAAATGGAATAGTATTTATTTATTTATTTGGAACAAGTAACAACTGAATCCAGTTGGCCTAAATGGCCAAGACTCTGTTTTGGGTCCACTGTTGTTTCTGCTGTGTATACACCCTCTTGGACAGATACTTGATTCTTTTCATGATGTCTCTTATCACCTATATGCAGATGACATTCAGCTGTTCTGCTCCTTTAAGGACTCTTGAGTTCTATAAACTGTCTGAATGACTAGAGTGTCTATCAGCTATCACCAGCTGGCTAGAAGCTAACTTCCTTCATTACCCCTGAGAGCATGGTTCTCCTGATTAGTCTAAAACTTGGTCATTTATCCTCTGCTGTCACGACAAACTTAAGGAATTTGGGTGTTTTTGACCAATCAGTGTCTCTTGAAGGTCACTCAAAAACATCTGTCCGAAACTGTTTTCATCATTTAAGAAATATCTCCAAACTGTGAAGGTTGATGTCAAAACATGAACTTGAAATGGTTCTCCATGCCTTTATCTCCTCCTGTCTAGATAACTGTAACACACTCTTCACATGTTCCCTTGACCACCTTCAGTTGGTCCAGAACTCTGCAGCGAGGCTCCTAACTGGAGCAAACACAAGAGCACACATCACTCCTATGCTAATGTCTCTGCACTGGTTACCCGTTTAGAGTCCTGACTAGAACTTTCAGGGCTCTGCATGGTCAAGCTCCTCCCTATATTACTGAACTGTTAAAGCCTTATGCTCCAACCCGAGCCCTCAGGTCCACCCACCAGAGCCTTCTAGAAGTTCCACAGACCAGATACAAAAGTCAGGGTGATCGCTCCTTCCAGACTGTTGCTCCCCGACTCTGGAATGATCTTCCTTTATCCTTACGCAGCGTTGACAGTCTGGACACTTAAAACAACAGCTGAAGAGCCTTTTATTTAAAGCTGCTTTTAACTAAACCTTTTATTTTCTTATTTTTAACTCAAATTTTTAATCTTTCGTCTGTTTATGAAAATTTATAATTTTATGACTTTATTTTCTCTGATGTTAATCTAATTCTGTTTAGAGAACATTCTGATTTTATGATGTTAATCTATTTATGATTTTATGACTTTGTTTTGTTTTGATCTATGTGAAGCACTTTGTGCTTCTATGTCTGTGATAAGTGCTATATACATAAAACTGACTTACTTACTTACTATATAACCAAAAGGGTGAAGGCAGAAGCAAAGCGTATAGTTTCCCCTGTTTTTAAATCACGTGCCTATACATGCCTTCATTTGTAACTGAAGTCGTGTTCTCGCCTTTCCTTTAGTGAACACCGAGAGTGAAACTGCAGTGGTTAACGTAACATATGCATCACGGGAACAGGCAAGGCAGTAAGTCTTCTAAACGTCCCTTTAATGTGTTTTATTTAACTTTTGCATTGTTTTTGTTCTGCACAACTCTGTAGTTTAAACAAAGGACTTGTTCAGTAATGGACCAAATGGGTACCTTTCTCATGTCTCATCTTTTGGTTTAAGAGGCAAACAAACTGATGTTTTATAGGGAAACAATTTCAGATGTTAAAATAGACTGAATTTTGACCTAATAATAACTGAAACTGAGGTGAGATTTGAACTGAGTTGGCTTGTTTATGGCATGTGTGTTCTATCTAGTGCACACTCCTCCATGACAGACAAAGTGCATTCACTGCTACTTTATTAAACCATTACAAACATTGTATGACAAAGTCAACATTTGTTTTCACACAATCACGGGTATAATTCTAATGCAGCAGCCTAACATTACATTAGATGCTTAAATGGTAAATCCAATTCAGACAGCACTGGGTATGTGTTCCTCTAGTAAAGCAGGACAATCCCTAAACTTTCTAAACCTGTGCAGCATCATCAAGGAGGAAGCCTAACTAACCCAAGCCTCACATATCCGATTTATCCAAAAAGAAAATGTTTAGAAAAGACCTAAGAGAGGAACCTGAGGACGTTGTGCCGCCTCACATTCTTCCTGTAGAACCTCTAGGAACCAAACCTGCAGCCTGAGGGACCAGTGGGGCAACGATGGCAGAGGAGTTAGGTGCCATCCCGTAACTGGA